TCCCTCCTCCCCTGCCCCCTCCCCAGTTGTAGAGTGTGTAGAAAGCAAAAGGCTGGGGGCTGGCCGCGCTCACGAGCCTAGGGCATGCGCGCTGGGGCGGTCGGGCCTGCGCACTGGGGGCGGAGGGGAGTGGGGAGTGGGCAGCGAGGGGGGGTGGGGGTGTGGACCGTGCAGTCCGCGTGGGGTCGACTGCGGCCGGGGAGAGTTGACGTGCTACGGTGTGGAAGCCGCGAAATGGTCCCTCGGGTCGCACCGGGGATGCGTGCGTGCCACTATCCTGTCTACTGCGCGCGCCCAGCTCCGCGCCCCCCCACTCCCACCAGCACCCTCCTCGGGACACTTGTCCCTCGACCCCCTGCCCCTGGCCCTCCGGAGGCGCCTGGGCCACTTTCTGAGGAGGCCTCCAACGGTATTCTCCGTGGGCGACCTGCACAGCGAGGGAAGGAGGGATTTCAGAGAAGGGACACAAGGGGGCTTTCCTGGGAGGGGGGCGCGACTGGAGGCGACAGGAAGGGAGCGGGTGCCAAACCGCGGGCCTCTACTCCACTGGGAGACGTTGGGAAGCCCCACCGGCAGAGTTGGAAACTTTTTTCCCACGTGGTAGCACAACGCGTGGCTGAGTGACCCCGCACCCTGATGACCCTGGGGTCCTCCTCGCCTTCAAACGAGAGTCCTTAGGGACGCTCGGGCGGCTTCTCAGCAGGCTGAGCGAGGCCGGGGGCCGAACTTGAACCTTCGCAGCTGCAGCGGGCGAGAGGGCGGGGTTGGAGGGGCCGGGACCGCCCCAGCCCGAGGACCAGTTAGACCTGCAAAACTCAGTCCCTACCGCAGCCCTTACTCAGTCCCTACATTTTGTTTAGGGGGAGGAAGGGGGTCTTTCCGGCTTTTCTAATCAATGCCCCTCCTCTCGCCGCAATGTAGCCGATGCTTATAAAAAGTTGTACTAAAAAGCTGACTGCAGCCCAGAATCGATCAACAAAAGCGACCAGCCTTTCTGGGTAAAATAGCTGTGCGTTTTTCGGGGCACTGGAATTGATCTACTCGGATCAAAAAGACGCCGATAGCCCTTTTCTTACCAGCCCGTGAGATACCCGCTTCACTTTCTATTCAGGCACGTAAACACCGAAGCACATCACACCTTGCCCCAAGTAACCTACATTTGGGGAGCAAGAAAAAGAAAATGAACTGACATTTGTTAATTGCTCACAGTGGGCCAGGCACCTACCAGAGGCTTTTATGTGACTTCTCTTTAAATCTAAGTGTGCACTTTTATTTTATTTATTTTTGTATTATTGGAAGGAAATGGCAGAGAAACAGTAAGGACAATATGACATACCCAAGATTTACTGATTCATTCATTCATTTATTCATTCCTTCGTTTAACAATTATTAGGGTGTACTATTCACCAGGCACAGTTCTAGGTGCTGGGAATACAGTGGTACATAAAACGGAGAAGGTCGTCCCACTTGGATCTTGTATTCTAGCAGGCAAGCCTCACTTACCTGGCACTTCTGGTGACAATTTAATAGTTGTTCATCCCCTTAAGTCACGCTGCGTCAGCATCCCCATTTCTGGATCCCAGGTCTGGATCTTTATGAAATGGAGATAGAGGATGGGATGGGAAGATGGTGGGAGCCAAGACTCAAGAGCAAAGAGGAGCAACAGCTGACCTGTGAATAAGACTTGAGCTTCCTGCGGTTCCAGGGAACAAACCATTTGACCTTAGGCAAGACTCTCTCTCCAAAGACTAGTTTTCTCATCCAAAGAGATTCAATGAAATGTTCAGAAAGTTCCCTCTCAAGCCTCAAAAGATGACACCTTTTCCAGTAGATTGTGTGCTTTATTTCTTGAGAATAGTGATGGATACATTGGATCTGATTCAATTTATTAGGAACACAAAGCCATCTTCTAAAATTAACAACCTAAGATAACTTAGACTGCTGCTCCCAGACTCTGTATAGAGTGTAACTTCTGTGTTAATTTCTAGGATGCTGTCCCAGCAGCTGCTGAAATCCAGACTGAAGCTATCAAGCTCATGCCTACCAAAAAAGCCAAGTTCTTTGCAATTTAAAGCAAGGAACTGTGCTCATTTTTAGGGTTTTTAGGAATGTGGAAGATGTTGTATTGTGGATACTGGTAAGTATCAAGGAAAACTCAAAAGGAACATTGCAATTATAGTCACTTTTCAACAACTTTGGGAGTTGGGTTGAGGAAGGTGTGAAATTGACAAATATAATAAAAAGTATAATAGTGACTTTCCAGAGTAGCCCTTGGTAGTCTTGTCTTTAAAGAGTAATGTCTGGTGGGGGGGAAAGGATGGCAATGCACTGCATCCAAGAACATTGCCTCTGGCAAGAGTAATTTGCAAATGCATTTGGGGATAATGTTAAATGTATTCTTTCAGGGTCCAACTATAATGCTCACTAGAATGGGTAAGGTCTTTTGGGTCAGAGTTTCAATATCCTTCCATCAGAGAATGAAAATTGTTTGTGGATTACATTGTCCATATTTGTTTCTAATTCTCCATATTGTCGATGTTGTAAGAGCTGATGATTAATAACCATCTTAAGCAAAGCACTGATTATGTGCCAGACACTGTTCTATGCTGTATTGAAATCTCATTTTATTATACCTATTTTAAAGTTGGGTAAACTGAGGCTTGAGAAGTTTATACATAGGTGGCATAGCTGTTTAGTGGTAAACTGAATTTGGTCTGAGTGACTCTAAAACTTGTTCTCTTAATGGTTATGCTGAAATTCTTTACGCTGACTGATTCCTCAAGAAATCAAATGCTATGTATATAATACAACAACTTTGGAAATTTGGCAATATCTACTAAATTTAAGCATATGAAAACCCTATGGCCCAGCAAATCACCTCCTAAAAATATACCAATGTCAAATGTATACCAAAAGGTACCTATTAAACAGCTCAGAGTAACTCTGTTTATAAAAAACCCCAAACTGGAAACAACCCGAATGTTCATTAACAGTAAAATGGATAAATTATTGGTGATTATTTATTATTCTGTTATTATATTCATATAACAATAATATACAACACTAAGAATGAACAATCTGCTTTGAAATGCAATAACATATACAAACCTCATAAATATAATGCTAAGTGAAAAAAGCAAGACACAAACAGGCAAAACTCATTTATGCTATCAGAAGTCATGATAATGGTTACCCTTAATGAGAGCTAATGATGGGGAGGGGACATAAATAGGGATTTGGGGGAGATGGTCATTTTTCTTAGGATTTGGCACTGGTGGCCCATGTGTAACCAGTTTTTGAAAAGTCATCAAGCTGTACTATTACAATGCATGCACTTATCTGTATGTGTATCATACTTCAACAAAAAATGTAATGCAATATACAAGTGTGCAAGGGTAGTAGTCTTTGTGTACATATGAGTACCTATATAATACTTTATTTTTTCATGTATTAATAACACTACCCACATGCTTGTCAACAGTAAGATGGATAATTAAGCTATGGTTTATTCTTACAGGACTATACAATGGAATACTGTATGGTAAACCAATATAAAGCATAGCATATCACCAGATTTTTTATTGGGCAGAATGAAGGATAAAGCTTAAACATGAAATAGGCGGTTTGAATGAGCTCATAATTCACATCAGCAAAAGCTTAGGTGAATTCTTTGCCAAAAGATTGTCATTGTTAAAGAGTAAAGCTAAAGAAATAACTCCAAAAGAGGTTGCTTGTGTAGTACGGAAAACACTCAAGTGGTTCTGGAATACACAAAGGAAAAAACTTACATCTGTGCTCAGGAATAAGCTACTTAACCCAGGAGAGCCTCTCCAGTTGTGCAGTCTTTTATTTGAATTGATGATTAATACTCAAACTACATCTTGAACATTCAACCTTGACTAGTTAGAGAATACTATTATAGCTCAATGACTGAACTGAACTCAGGCTTCCACTCTATTTTTGGTATCAGATTTTCTAAATTACTAAATTTTTGTATCCCTATAAGTCTTGCACTTTGCACTCTGCCAACACGGCAATTATTAATACATCCTTCTTGATATTACATACTGGTATATAGTGTTTGAATTTAATTTATTAGGAAAATTGATTTTTAACTCAAGGCAGCTAAGGTTTATGTTTTGGTCGTTTATAACTTGCAGTTATTTTGTGTGTGTTGTCTGCCCTGAGACCAAGGTAGAGTGAGGTGGTTAATAGATCTCTATGCTATTTCCAAATGAGCAAATAAGGAGACACATTTTACGTCCCTTCTTTAACCCTCATAGATTATTTTTAATAATAACTATTCCTGGGAAGAAGTGATAGCTTGCACTAACTGACAGGTAGCCCATTAGCAATAACATTGTAGTAACTTTGCCTTAATTATCACCTGCTGTTTTAATTTTTTTCTGCAGTGGAAGTTGTTTTGTTAAACTGCAGTATTAACGTTCAAAAAAAAAAAGGAGGGGGAGGAAATGTGTGGTTCAGTTTGCAAAATGTTGTGCCATTTTCCATAATATTGTAACATAAACTTTCATCATCTCCGCAGGTATCTCTAATGAATGACACATTGATTAACCAGCATTCTTCAGACTCTGCCATATGAAACCAACAAAAGATACCTGCTGGTGACCAAATGATGATCATGTAAGAAGACACTTCTGGCAAATTTCATAAGCTGTAGATTTTTTACAAAAACTAACTAGTCTTCCTATCCCGTCTCATGGCAATGCTTTCTGCTTAAAGATTCACTAGACATAAAATAACCAGGTGGGAAAATTGATGGGTAATCATAAGAAAAAAACTGTAAATGACTCTTGAAAGCTA